TATAAGATGTCTTGTTTATTTATGTATCTTATATTTTTGGGGATCCTAAAATTGTCATTATTGGGTTTGCTTTGGTCTCAGATTGTACCCTAGCAGAAGACTGTACAGATGCCTAATGGCCTATTGGATAGTCGTTGGGTTTTTAGATATGAGTAGCCAGCCACTGAATGAGCCACAACCAGAGGAAAGCCCAGGGGATCTAGAAGTAGACAGACCTGGTTTCTATCCTATCTCTACCGCTTGGTAACCAAATGGTCTTGGGAAGTTCTTTGAAACAAATTATAGCCTACTTTCCATGGTGGTATATAGGTTAATTGGATCCTCTATATAGGACAATTAACTCAGAGCATGTCACATAGTAGGCAGTAAACATGTTATCTCTTTCCATCCCTCTTTTCATATCTTCCCCAGATGTCCAGAGTATCTTAAATTCTCCAGTGCCTTAAGTTCCTAAACTTGGTTGAAAAGCTAACTTCATCATGTTTGCACATTTTGAAATTCAGTAATATTAGTGTCCAGGAAGTCAGTTTCATGTTGCTCTTACATGTTCTCAAGTGGTCAATGAGTATCAGGTGGATGATTTGGACACATGGTCCTTTAAACACTTCTCTTTCTTTTAACCAGAGCTTACTGTGACTTGAATCAAGAAGGTCAGTGATTCATCTCTTCACTGTGGTCAGATTGTGTGGTGGTCTGAAAAATCATATTGAACCACAGCTACATAACTTTAGCTTCACTATGGTCAGCAGGCCCATAGAAACTTACTGCATGGAAATATATAACAGCTTTCTTTGTCTTCTTTGAAATTAGCTCAGCAACATTCCCTCTCTATATAAATTTGCCAATGGTTAGTGAACCAGGTAATATCTTCTCTGATCTAAAGCACTAAAGACCTAGAGAAATCTTTTAATCTCCATCTCTACCCCCCCCCCAATGCCTTTGCAATAACACCAATACTTTTACTGTTGGGCATAATTGACACATAACATTATGCTACTTTCAGGTGTACAGAATGATTCAATACATGAATATACTGAGAAATGTTCATCACAATCTAGTTAACATCTTTCACCAAACATAGTTAGAAAATTTTTTCCTTGAATGAGCACTTTTAAGATTTACTCTCTTAGCAACTTTTAAATATGCAAACAGCATGTTAACTGTAATCACCATGCTGTATATTACATCCCCACGACCTATCAATCATATAACTGAAGGGAAGTTTGTACCTTTGACCCCCTTAACCCATTTCACACCCAAACTACAAACTCCATGGCAATCACCAATCTCTTCTTTTAACAAAGATCTTGGGATTTGGGCTTTTTAAAAAATATCCAATATATAAGTGAGATCATAAAGTATCTGTCTTAATCATGCCAAAATTTTTAAAAAATATATACTTATGGATAGGATTCTGGGACATCTACTTCCATCCCTGGATATTCAATTTTATATTTTTCCTTCTTTGAATCTCCAGTATTACAAAAGTGTCATTTTGTACTTTTTATTTTCTTAAGTGTAAGGTTTTTTCAGTCTCAGAATACACTGAAGGTGTTTGTGGCCTACACTAGGAACCTAGACACAATTATCTTGTACAAAATACATTCAGAGTTCCAACAGATGCGTTCTTTTAAGTTTGTAAGTCAGAGAGTTTGTATTTTCTGAAAACTATCACTAAACTCAATTCTCCTAGTTTTTAATGACAAACAAGTTCTAATACATACATTTAATTAGGAGCAACTTTTAACCTGAATAGGAGGAATCCCAATGGATATTCATAGGCCCCTGATTCTGGCAAAGGGAGAAAGCAGATACTTAGAAATGGATTCAACTCTATCAAGACATTCTCTATGAATTCAAAGTCTAAGGGCGTTTCAGTATATCCCAGACCATTTGGGAACCACTGCTTAGGTAAGTAATGTTATGAACATTCTAGACCACCATTGAGTGAATATAGGAAACACTCAACAAATATTTGCTAAACAAATGGCTGGGTAGATGAACAAATGAATGTGAATATATCCCTGCTATATATTTGGAATGATGTGTGAGTGTGTGCCTGTAATCATACTCACAGACATACACAATAGTAAACATCCTTATTTGGAATGACACATTAAATTACTCTCCTGAAGAATATCTCTCAATGTTTAAACATTTTCCCTGAGAAACCAAAAAAAAAAAGAAGAAGAAGAAGAAAACTTTAAAAACAGCAGGCATATTAAAGAATATCCCCTTACTTCTGCTAAACTGGAGTAAACATAGAGGCTATTTAGGTCAATTGAGTATTTAAATGTGTAGGCACATGTGTCAACAAGAATTTGAAAGAAAGATTTGTTGTACATTTAACCTAATACAGAATAGTATTCCCTGAAATTAGGGACCAATACAATTATACATGAATGCATATAAAGACAAGAATAGCAGAATAGAGATGTCAAGATGGCCTTAACGTTCATCTAGTCTGATCTCTTCATTTTAAAAGAGACATGCATCTCAGAGACTAAAAGTAGGTTATGTGGAAGGACAACAACCTGGACCAGAACCCTGACTCTTCTCCAAGGTGTTTTACCATTCATCACACTCTCAAAATGCAGAAACCTATTGATGTAACTAGTCATTCATTCAACAACTATTTTGTCAGTGTTACTATGAGGCAGAAACTTCAAGGCATGAGATAAATATCAAGAGGAATAACTCCTGTGTAGAAGAGGAACCTCAAGTTTAATCATCTTTGGGGTTATGCAGATAAAAGTAGCCTAAGTGGATATGAGATAAAGAAAATGGAAGTGCCCAGGGCAGACTGGGGTGTGCATGCTCCTACCAATGGCATTCACTAGCTTTGGGATTTGATGTTTAATTTAAGCACAGTGCTGGCCCAATCATATATCAGAAAACATAATTGGATTTAGCATTTTGGTACCAGTTTTCAACCCTTAACCACAGATTACAATCTTGATTTTACTACCAGTGCTGAGATATATTGGCTAACTCTGGTTCCTTAACTTGATATAACATATATAATTTAAGGACATTTGCAAAGAAGTATAAACTCAGTTATTCATGAACACTAATGGTTTCAATTAAGCAAATTTTAAATGGCAATTGAATTTGTTTACCTAGATGTCATAACTGTGTACAAGTAGGTAATATTTCCTGTGATTTTTCAAGCAAAGATTTGAAAGATGAAATGGAAATTCTGATAGAAAAAAAAAAGACAGTATTTTCATAGCAGAGAAACTAGAAGACTCTATGGATTTTGCCACTGAGTTGATTCTGTCTGAGGTACAGACCTGCACTAACCATAATCCCTCACAACATATGTGTGTTACTATTTCTGTATAGGCATCTAAAAATTCCCTATTAATTGTTGCATGTTTTTGCTCTTGAGTATCTGTTCCAGTACCTATCATGTCCAATCCAATAGTCTACTATTAGATAATCAGGTAAGACTTAAGTCTGAAACATCTGTGTCTGCACAACACAAAATATGAAAACCAAGAAGTCCAAAGACACTAAACACACGGAAATCTTTGGTTAAATTGTTCAGCTTTAGACTGAAGGTTATTAACGTAAAAGTCTATCATCAATCCAAATGATGCATAATTCCTACAATTTCATTTTATTGAGGTGATTGTTCCTTGAATGCCACTTCGCTTCCTGTTCTGACCTTTCTTTCACTTTCCCAATATGTCTCCCCCCTTCCATTGTTCAGAAACGTGGAGAACTGACAAGAGAGAATGTAAACCAGTGCATACTGGAAATGTTAATCGCAGCACCAGACACTATGTCTCTGTGTTCTTCATGCTGTTTCTCATTGCAAAGCATCCCCAGGTTGAAGAGGCAATAATGAGGGAAATCCAGACTGTTGTTGGTAAGAATGTATCAAACAGACAAGAGAGATTAGAAATCAATTCCTTCTGAATATCAGTTTCTATCTCCTAATAATCTTATGGCAAAACCTTTCTAGAACCCACCCAGAGAATAATGAAGCAAGTCATTGTGTCATATTTACATTATGCCAGACAGGTATCAGTGTTTTTCTGATATAAAAAAAATACATGCTGGTTGGAAATAAATCAAATAATGGAGAGATTTATAAAGCAGAATGTAATATCCCTTGATCCCTCCTACTCTTATCTACAGTCTTGTTCCCATTCCCCAAGGAGAGTCACTATTGAGGGGCTGGGTTGGTAGAGTTCTCTGATCAAGTGAGACCTCTCCTGAATAGAGTAGTTGTACAAAAGCAGAGTTGCCTCGGAACCCTGGGTTGATTTTCATTCTGCAGAGGTGATATCCCATTTGAGAATGCTTTAAAGTTTTGCCAATTTTGAGGATAAATTGAGCCTCTCTGACCGGTATGGAGCCAAACAATCTGAGACTGTGGAGGTGTCCACCAATTCCCAGCTCACCTGGGACTGATCTGAGGACCCCCTTTTGTGTGGTGGAGAGACAGGGTTTTTGCCACTTTGTCACACCAGGTTGTCCTGGATGAGATGGGGAGGAGGGACAATCAGAGATATTTTCTGACAGATGACTGCACAGGATACCAGAAAAGAACGTTTCCTTGAACATGATTAAAGTCACCATCCCTCTTTGACTAAAGAATTAACGTCTTCTAGAACTGAAAATAGGGGACAAAGCTCAAGAACCACAGAGGTAGCTGATAAATGTTTGAAGCTGACTGGGTAGGTCTACATGATGCTTCAGAGAGGAGTTTCTCTATAGAGCTCCTCAGCCACTCAACCTCAGCCAGCGGCTGCCATGTGGAGATGTGGGTCCAATGTTACCTGGCCTTATTTTTCTACAAGTCCAGATGTCTCAATGACATCCCTCAGGTGTTAAGATAATTGACTTCAAATTTGACTCTTCATAAGACTTGGTGGACCAAACATAGCATATTAATATATTAGAATTATATATATAAATTTTTTCAAACTGACCTATAACAACACTGAAATTAGTATGACCTCCTTTGTCCTTTTTGTCTGCTTCCACAGGTGAAAGGAAAATAAAGAGTGATGATATTCAAAAGCTAACTGTGGTAGAAAACTTTATTAATGAGAGCATGAGATACCAGCCCATCGTGGACCTAGTCATGCGCAAAGCCTTAGAGGATGATGTCATCGATGGCTACCCAAGAAAAGGGGGACTAACATTATCCTGAATCTTGGAAGAATGCAGACTCGAGTTTTTCCCAAAGCCTAATGAATTTACTCTTGAAAACTTTGCCAAGAATATGAGTCCTTTCTTAAAGCTGAGTGTGCCACCCTTGAAAGCATCAACTGTTAAATCCCCTCTGTATTTGTGTTTGTACATTTCATTCTATTTACTCATCCCTTCCAGCATCACCAGGAGAGAACACATTTCCCCCAGCTAGAACAGGCCCATCAGTTCTGTCCTCAAGCCAAGGAGGCTGGCTCTCCAGCTCTTGGAAATGTCTTCATGGAGGGCACATGAGAGACCAAAGTGTGAACAATTCAGGCCCTTAATTTGCCTAAAATGAGATGAAGTTTGTTTAACCAACCCGCTTTTCCATTTAAACGTATCACTTTGTCATCATGTAGATTCAGCTGTAGCATCATCTATGATGATTAGATGGAAATCAAATGAGAAGAAATGATTTGGTTTTTGCAGTCTGCCTTTGATTCACCAAATGGCCCCACAAGTACTAGTCTCTATTCTAAATAGGACTTGGTAATTAGAACTCCCACCTTGCTCTTAATTGAGGTGTACTGGAGATTCTGCCTCTGTTATGTCAAATTCTAGGCAAGGACTCTTTTTGAACCTGAATTATCCATATAGTTCATCGCATACCCCAGTTTTCAATTTCCATATGGGAAGAGATATGATCATAGTTAAACCAGTTCTCTAATTCACTGTACTTGCATATAAGCAACCCATACCATGTTGCCAACTGGTCGAAAATAACTTACTAAGTATCCTTCAAGTGCCAGCCAATATGTAAGCCCAAATGGAGACAAGACAGAGAGGCATGTCCCTTTAAATATTTGTATAACAAAAAATATTTAGATTATTGGCATTAATAGGACAGGAATCCACACTTTTGCCTAAATTTGTCCTTGTCATCAGGTTATATGGCCTGGGACAACAACAGTCTTTGCCTCAGGGACTGGCAGAACAGCAGTAAAGATGTGGCCTTCCCACAGAGCTAGCTGAATACTTTACATGAAAATGTAACTGGGAATTATTGAGGTTGTGTCTGTATCACAAAGGGTGAATCAAAGTGGATGGAGAAAGAGTCTTATCTGAGTCATAGTCATTCGTCTGTGAGGAAGCAGTATGGCCAAATCACTAAAACCGAGCATTCTGACTGACTGTGTTTTCAGGGTGAATCAAACAGAGATGCATGACTCTAGCCTTTACTACACCCACTCCAGTGTTCTTGCCTGGAGAATCCCAGGGGCGATGGAGCCTGATGGGCTCCCATCTATGGGGTCGCACAGAGTCAGACAAACTGAAGCGACTTAGCAGCAGCAGCAGCAGCCTTTACTACTCTGGCTAATTGTCTGATCTCTTTCCCAGGTTCCTTACAGGTACTTTCAACCATTTGGCTTTGGGCCCCGGGCCTGTGCAGGAAACTACATTTCCAAGGTGATGATGAAGGTCATCCTGGTCACCCTTCTGAGACGCTTCCACGTGCAGACTTTGCAAGGTCGGTGTGTTGAGACGATGCAGAAGAAAAATGACTCATCCTTGCATCCAGACAAGACCAGTGACCGACTGGAAATGATTTTCATCCCAAGAAATTCAGACAAGTGCCTTGAGTGCTAAAGAAGTTTGGTCAGTCCCTGCCCCAGAGCACTGCTCAACAGTATTCCACGTGGGAACCACCCATCTTTGCCAGGTGGTCCTCCTCACATGAACAACCATGGCCTGTGCCGTTTTATAGGCTTACCTCCTGTGGGTTGTCAGCTAGCCAGGAGACATGGTTCATCTGACCAGATCCAAACCAGACACCAGGCTGCAAGAGAAAATAGAGGCCAAGAGTTTGTACAGGAAACTGCAGCCCTAAAGACCTAATTCCACAAAACATGCTTTGGAAAAAACAAATCACCAGCAAAACTCAGCCCAGCTCCTTACTGTCCTGCACTGAACTGGGAGCTTTTTAACATCTGGGGCAGAAGCACTCAATTTGATTACAAAGGCCAGGCCAACATCTGCGTACCTCAGATCAAACATATCTCCTAGTGTGAATAAAATGGTTTTCATTTGCTTTTTGGTGGGGTGGGGATTACAACATCCATACCCTTGGAGAAATGCTTACAAATTCAGCATTTGACTCTTCCTACGAACTACATTTAATTAACTCTTGTTTATCCACATGTGATTTATCTGCTGCAAAATTTAAATGAAAGACTGTCCTTTACTGATTGCTCAGTTTATGCCTCAGCCATATCACATATGTCCTATAAGAAAAAAAATTCATGTGATGTGCTTCAAATTCAAATAAAATTTCTTTTGTCATGTCTGCATTGTTTCTTAGCTCCAGGAATACATTAACCAGGAACTGGAGGTAGTGGCACCTATTAACTCTTATCACAGCTTCTGTGATTTTCAGGGAGGGGAAGTCTCTAGTCTATATGTAAAGCTACAACCCAGTGAGTTCTCACTTCTAAGGAGTGCTCCTCATGTACCAATATCCTTCTCCCTTAACAGTCTACCCTCTTTCTTCCCAGGACCCCAAAAGCAAACAGCAACATTTAAGCAGAGAGTGTGGCCAGGTTAGAACTCCTGCAATCACATTTTATCCTAACTCAGATTTAACAGTTACCTTAGAGATTTAAAGGTTATGTAGTTTATCTAATCACTACATGTAGCCAGGAATAAAATGCACACTTCAGAATTAGCTCTTGAGAGAAAATCAAATAGATGAGTGAATACTCCAAATACCAGTTTCCTTGTATTATATCACCAATCTGAATGTACGTACTGAAGGCCATTAAAAATTGAAAAATTAAATTCATTTACAAAGTTGTAAATGTTAGCCATTGAGTCAACCTGAATATTCTTTCATTATGCTATTTGTCAGAGCTCTTTTCTTTCTTTTGGAATCCTGGCCCATCCTCCATACTTTGTTTTTTGGCTGTGTATCACATCATGTGGAATCCTACCATCCTCCATTCTTACTCTCAGTTCAGTACTAAATCAACACTCTGGCTCATTCCCAACTGGCCCAGAATCCAGGTAAAAGGGAGAGGTATCACAACTAGTGAGGGATGGCAGTAGAAAAGAAGGAAATATTAACACTTTATTGTACACCTGAATCTAACACATGTTGTGAATCAACTATACTTCAAAAAATAAAACGTAGGAAATACTTCACCTTGGAACTATCTGGATCATCTACATGGCCTAAACATACGTGGAGAAAGGCCTGTATACCTAGATATGTCTGTAGTCAAGTCTAGACAAGCATCCAAATAACCCAGATCTCCAAAGGAAAGGTCAGGATTTTAACACTTAATGTTTCCACCATAATTCACTAGATGATTACAAAGGCACAGTTTACTGTGATTAGAGCTCTACAGTAGAGAAAAACAGACCTTGGATCAGTATACTATACCCATCCAAATCCCTTGAAATCTACTGTATTTAATGTGTCTATATGGAGCCAAGGCCATCATCTATACAGTCAAACTGAAATGCAGGAGGATATAATGTATATAGATGATGCAGATATAAAAATATGCACAGGGAAAACATGCACCGGGTGGGGTGGGGACCAGAGGAGGACCGGAAGAGGAAGTGCTGGTTTCCAGGCACTTCCTTAGAAGAGCTCCTTAGCAAGTTCGATGCATTTGCTTAGAGAGTTCTAAGCAAACTCTCCCAGAATCAAATTATCTGGGTAATTATTCAACCTGAAGCTCTCTTTTTCCTGTATTGACAAGTCCCATATGTTTGCACAAGCTTGACCTAAGGAAGTTGGAAGGTCATTGACTTTTCAGTGGGCTGATGAACATGTATATGAAAATCCTCTTTTCAGAGTTTTGCTTCATTGCTAAATACTTAATTGTGATTCTGAATGTGTTATGATTCTGCTTTCACCAACTCTCAAAGGAACTGGGATGTATACATTATTAGTGAAATGCATACATATAAAGGGTCTATCATTTTCGCACTATGAGGAAAATAGTAGTGTCCTATCTTTGGAAGTTCCAGACATCTCCTTCTGCCTTCATTGACATGTTACTCTTCCCTCTCCCGAGTGGAAAATCATCTCATTCAGAAAGGCCCCACATAATGGGAAATGCCGACTGGAAGCTGTCACTTTTTGTTTCTAAGCAGCACCTCTCCCAGCTCACCGTGCTAATATTCCACAGAAGTGTGTGGCACTGGCCCATTGGAAAGAATACTAGCTGGGGCCTCCTCAGTCTCCTGTATTACTGTGTCTCTTGGACTGAATCTCTCACCAGTACTTGCAGAAAGACTGGCTAAATTAAAGCTTGTCAAACTGACATGAAAGCAATTGGTGTCCTTTCAGCTGGGTTTATCAAAGTTTTAAGTTCTTAAATTATGAGACATGGAAGCTGAGCCTGCAGCCCAGGTGATTTTTAAAGTTCCTGTCAGCTACAAATCTATAAATAAAGAAGTGATGATGCCTTGAATCTGGGCTAAGCATTTTCTTAAATATATGCTTTGGGGGCTTCCCTGGTGGCTCAGACAGTAAAGAATCTGCCTGCAATGCTGGAGACTCAGGTTCAATTCCTGGGTCAGGAAGATCCCCTGGAGAAGTGAATGGCTACCCATGCCAGTATTCTTGCCTGGGAAATTAAAAAAAAAAAAATCCCACGGACAGAGGAGTCTGGCAGGCTACAGTGCATGGGATTGCAAAGAGTCTGACACAACTGAGCAACTAGCACTTCTAACTAATCTATGCTTTGGTCAAATGTTTATTCTCTCATACCTCAGTTTTCTCATCAATAAATCCCTCAGAAGGGTAATGTGGCAATTACAGCTTAAGGTCTGGAGAAAATGTTTTTTAGATAGACGAACAGCAAATAAGAAGGCCTTGGTGGGGGGATGAAGCTTGGTGTGTTTGGGGGCTTACAGGTGGTAGAGCTGTAGTGTCATGATCAGAAGGGAGCATGAAACCAGGTGAAATTGATGAGGTAGGTAGATGGTATGGAATTGTTCCTCCAAAAT